CCCCCCCGCCTTCTCTGGGGAGTTTCTGGTCCTTCGGACTTTCCAAAGATGTCCGGAGGCAGCACCGTCTTCCTGAGCCTGCAGCCTGGCTCAGAGGCAGAGGGCAAGCCATGAACACTGAAACTGACCAGTGCTGAAACTGACCAGTGCTGAAACTGACCATCAAACTGACCAGTGCTGAAACTGACCAGTGCTGACAGTGACCCTGAAACTGACCAGTGCTGAAACTGACCAGTGCTGATTAGTGTTGACAAGTACTGAAACTGACCAGGCTGACCAGTGCTGACACTGACCAGTGCTGAAACTGACCAGTGCTGACCAGTGCTGAAACTGACCAGTGCTGACCAGTGCTGAAACTGACCAGTGCTGACCAGTGCTGAAACTGACCAGTGCTGACCAGTGCTGAAACTGACCAGTGCTGACCAGTGCTGAAACTGACCAGTGCTGAAACTGACTAGTACTAAAACTTGACCATCAAACTGACCGGTGCTGAAACTGACCAGGGGTGACCAGTGCTGAAACTGACTAGTGCTAAAACTGACCATCAAACTGATCAGTGCTGACTAGTGCTGAAACTGACCAGTGCTGAAACTGACTAGTACTAAAACTTGACCATCAAACTGACCGGTGCTGAAACTGACCAGGGGTGACCAGTGCTGAAACTGACTAGTGCTAAAACTGACCATCAAACTGATCAGTGCTGACTAGTGCTGAAACTGACCAGTGCTGAAACTGACTAGTACTAAAACTTGACCATCAAACTGACCGGTGCTGAAACTGACCAGGGGTGACCAGTGCTGAAACTGACCAGTGCTGACCAGGGTTGACAAGTACTGAACCTGACCATCAAACTGACCAGTGCTGAAACTCACCATGAAACTGACCCCCGGGAATGGGGCGGGGGGCACTGGCTGCTAGCCCCGCCCCCACACTGTCGAATAGTCGTGTAACTGCTAAAATGTGAGGCTCTAGTGCTTCGTCGTGGCTGGGAGGTCGGAGATAGGCCGCCAGTCGTATTTGTTTCCTGGGTTTGATGTGACAGGTTTTTTGAGCCCGTGACAATCAATCTCTGTCTCGTTTTGATTGAGCCAAAGTGCTCGTTCTCCTCTCTGTGGCCCCAGGGAAACTGGCGAAGGCCACGAACCTCCGTGGTGTCACCGGGTGGGTTTGACAAAAGCCTCAGATCCCCCCTCTACCGTCTCCACTCCTCCCTACGCCTCGGCTGCCTTTGCTGGGGCTGACCTCTGTGCCTTCTTCCAGGGGATACGCCAAGGACCACGAGGGCAGCTGGTTCCGCTCGCTCTTCGTCCACAAAGTGGATCCCCGCAAGGATGCCCACTCCACGCTCTTGTCGAAGAAAGAGACCAGCAACCTCTACAAGATCCAGTGTGAGCTGCCCCTGCCCGGGGCTGCCCGTCCCCTTCCAGGCCACATGCTGCGTCGGCCAGGGGGTCTGGTCAGGGAGAGCCCTTTGGTTTATGAGCTTCCTACCAGCCAGGGGTGGGTGTTGAGCTCCGTCCCCACCCGTTCCCCACACTCACTTCACAGGGCACCTCGCAGATGTTTGCTTTGTGGGGGTGTAGAGGGCTCATCTAGGGGGTCAGGAGGGACAATATCTGACTGGCCAATCACCTGGCTGGCCAGGGAAGTGCCTGCCAAGAGGGTAATAAACAGCCTCTCATCTTTTCCATCTGTGGGTGGATTTTTTCCACCCGTGTGCGGAATAAATTTTGTGCTGTGCACTGAGGCCGGGGCAAATGTGCACCACGTGGAGACACACAAACCTTTGAGTGCTCTACGATTCAGCTGGGCAGTGCAGGAATGTGTCCTGAGCAGCCAACCGAGCGGCCAGATGCCTGCAGATCACTTTGCCCAGCTCCGGAAGATGTCCAGCGGTTTCCCTGGGGTTGATTTCTACCCTGCTGACCTGTCTCTTCGGTCTGTTTCCCTGCTGTAGTTCACAACGTGAAGCCGGAATGCCTGGACGCTTACAACAGCCTGACGTGAGTTCTCCTGCGGTGGGCGGAGCCTATGGCAGCCTCTAGCGCAGTGTTTCCTCAACTTGTTAAGACCGAGGAACACCAAAGAATAATTTTTGTTATGGGGAACACCGAGGATTTTTTTGTTGAGGGGGGAAAAAAAAAGCCCCCAGGGAAAAATTGTTGAGCCCCAAAAAAAAAAAAAAAAGGAGGCTTGCCCCTTTAAGGGCGGCCATTTTGAATTCTGTTCTTTCCGCGGAACACACTTTTAAGAAACGCTGCTGTAGCGGGTTGATGATGAAGCTGTTCCTGTAGGGGCAGGAAGAAGAAGAGCCTTATGGGTAAGGCACAGGACGGGGAGTCAGGACTCCTAGGTTCTGTGTCACTTTAGGCAAATCTCGTCGCCTTTCGGTGCCTCAGTTTCCCTCTCAACTAGAGGAGGAAATTCAGGCTCAGGAAAACTCTGCCTTTGGGGGCCAGCTGGGGCAGCCGCCCCATTGGCTGAGCAGCCCTCTGCCCCTTCCGCATCCCCTGCAGTGAGGAGGTGCTGCCCAAGCTGCACTCGGACCCCGATTACCCTTGCGACTTGGTGGGGAACTGGAACACATGGTACGGCGAGCAAGACCAGGCAGGTGAGCGGGCGGCCGCGGGCCGGGCCCCTGGGCCCTCGGGTGGGGTCTGCCTCGCCACGACCCCCAGGCCAGGCCTTGCTCTCTCGTTGCAGTGCACCTGTGGCTGCTCGCCCCTCCGGATCCCTCTGCTGCGGCATCTGCCCTCGCCCCTCCAGCGTGTCCTCTGACCTGAATGCTTAGGAAGACATTCAAACGCCAGCAGCCCGGGTGTCCCCGGGTGGTGCACATTGGCTCCTGCCTCGGTGCACGGCATAAAATTATTCCGCACATGGATGGGAAACATTAGCGGGAACCACGGGTCCTGGCCCAAGTTTGCCAGCTGGGGAGGGGCACCAGGGCATGTCTCCGGCTGGCAGCCCCCTGCCTCTCCTTCCCCTGGGATTTCCGCGCCCGGTTCCCGGTGACGGCTGCTCTTTGCAGGAGTACCTGGCGTTCCGCCAAGAGAGGAGTAAAATGCTGCTGTCCCGTCGCAACCAGCTGCTCCTGGAGTTCAGCTTCTGGAACGAGCCTTTGCCCCGGGCCGGACCCAACGTCTACGAGCTGAGGACGTACAAGCTAAAGGTGAGTCGCTCCCTCGGGAGCCGGGGGGCGGGGGGAGGATCGGGGGACAGGGGCAAGTCTCAGGCCCGGCTGGCTCCTGCAAGTCGTCCCCGGAGGGCTCCGCACTGCGCCCGGGGGGGTCTTGTCGGCAGCCG